TTCTTGGGTAATTGGCACAAAACGTCCCTACCTTTCAAGTTTATTGTGAAAACTGTCCCAACCTTTCATTTTTTGGCATTTTCGTCCCCACCTTTTACATTTCTTTGCGCAGAAGGTCCTTTTCATTAGTTTTTGACAATTTTACCCTCCATTCAAATAAAGAAAAAAAGAAAAAAAATAAAGAACTAATTGCAATAATAGTTCCAAATTTTCAGAAAATGACAAATCAGTCACAATTTATTGTAAACTGAAAAATTTTAAAATTACCAAAAAAAAAAAAGAAGGGAAACTTGAATGTATAGAGAAATAATTAAGAAATAGAGAAATTTTTGAACCATAGCCAATGAAACTGAAAATCTTCAAAAATGGGTAAGTATAAATCTCAATTTTTATTCAGTGAAGAGTAGATGGAAGGCTTGAGGCAAAAATCACATAATCTTCAAAAATTTTCATTTCCATTGGTTATGATTAAAAAAATATCTCCATTTCTAGATTATTTCACTGTACATTCAAGTTTATTTTCTCTATTTAATTTTAAAATTTTTTTGTTCACAACAAATTATGATTGATTTATAATTTTTTGTAAAAATTTGAGACTACAATTGCAATTAATTCTTTATTTTTTCTTTTCTTTTCTTTTTGTTTCATTTCAATGAATGGTAAAATCGTCAAAAGGACCTTCTGTGCAAAGAAATGTGAAAGGTAGGGGCAAAAATGCCAAAAATGAAAGGTAGGGATGTTTTCAACAATAAACTTGAAAGGTAGGGACGTTTTGTGCCAATTACCCTTTTTTCTTTTGAGTAGTTACATGACTTTTTTTGGGGAAGGGGGTTTCTTTCAAATTCGTGTTTTTCACATGTTGTGCAACATTTCAAATTCTTTGATGGTGATAGATTTGGAGTCGTGTTGTAGTAGGGTAGAGGTTTAGTTAGGACCATCATTCTACTTGTACATTTCACATGCTTATTATTTTCATAGGACTGTTGTTTGTTACTTCTATAGAGCACAACAAAGAAGAAGGCGAGTGGTCCCAAAATGCCCAGTTACTTGCAAGAGAATTCAAGGGGTATTCCTTTTTCTTTTATTTATTAGTATGTCTGTGAATGTTTATATTCATTAGTTTTTTACTTCTTATTTATGCAATTTATCTATAACTTCAGTGTGTCATAATCTCCAGAATGAGAATTTGAATGGTGATGTGGCAAGTTCATCGACTCATAATTCCTCACTTCATGGGGCATCTTCACCTTCTATACCTGTTGAGTATTCGACTGTCATTGAATTTGTTACTAAGCAGTTGTTTGAAGGCATTTAATCTGTTATTCAGATTGGGTTTTATTTACAAGTATTATGTTTCTAATATTTTGTGTTTATTCGGAAATTTAATCATATTCAAACAATTTAGTTGATCTATGAGATTATGAAATTAAATTGAATTTGATTTTATTATACAAATACTTATAGATCTTTATGATCCCCTAAGGAAAGGAAAAAATATAGGTGATATTTTGATTTGGTGTGGTAAAACATCAAGTACTTTATATGTAATGCCTTTAGTTTCATTTTAGGAAAGATAGGTTTTTTCATAGCCTTTTCTTTGTTTTGGGGTTGGATTAGATGCACTACTGTTTTTAAGCTTTACTGATTAGTAGAACTCTTTCACTTATATCATTATTGTCATTTCTAATTTGTTAGTAAAGTATATATAATCAGACATCACAGGGTAAAAATGTCTGATTCCTTACGCGTGGTTAGCTTGCTTGGTTTGTGGAGTAACTTATGCTTGAGCAGATAAAAATATTTAGTTTAGTCCAAATTGAAAATGATTGGAGTCTCTGCGAGGTTTGGCCTAAGCTATTTGCAAATGTGCTTAAGTGAAAATAGTGGCTATTTTTAAAATAAAGAGCATTGGTTTACTTTCACTAGTTGGAGGTCTTGATGATTTTGCAGTTACGGATTAGTTGAGTTAGAACTCGTGGTCAATAATATTTCCATAGTGTCTTTTTACGCTTGATTATATTATTGCTTGAATTATATACCCTTTTAGTACTTACACAACCAGTATTAAGTATTGATGCAACAAGATACTATATACTTGGTTGCATTCTCAAAAAGTGGGGATTATCGTCTTCATAAAAGAATTATATGCTTGCATGATTTTACCCTATGACAAGTGTAAGCTTGATTTGTGTAATAGCTGAAATTCTTTGCGTGGACACAATCGAATTGCAACAATTGACTTTATTTTTGTTTATTTAGCTAACATTCCCTATGGGGCTCAGATGATATGAAATGTTTGAAGTTAGCTTAGCCTTGTGGGCTATTGTCTTTGTGCATTTTGTTAGTGTTATTTTTACTAGTCCATTATGTATCAGCCCTTGAGTATAATAAACATGAATTTCCTGCTTTCCCTTATGTGTTTTACTTTATGGTGCAGATGGTTGCTTTTGTACGTGGAATAAATCATTTCGAGACTCAATCCTCATCAAACAAAAAAACTTGGTGAAAGTCCTGGAATTTTTGCCTGTAATTGTTGGAGAATTGTTTCAGGGATGAAAGTGGTCGGTGAATACTAGCTTTCAAGCTTCTTCTTCTTCCTTTTTTTTTTTTCGAGGGGTAAAACCTGGTAAAAGCCCTTTGTAAAAGTTCCAATCTCGATTAATCAATTGTCACATGGCTAACCTAGAGATTCATGACCATATTTTGTAACCAATTCAAGTTTTTTGTGTCTCATATCAAACCCATTTATATTGTAATTGTGAGATGAATTACACTAGTTGAAGAATTTAGAGAAGAAGAACAAAGAAAATATTCTCTTATCTTTCAATGATAAACATACAACCTATATATAATGAAAGGAAGAAAAACTCCTTTCACTATATTCAGTAATAATTAATTTGCACAAAATCAGGAAACCATAAACAGGAAAGAAGTTAATAAATATAATAGGATTCTTCCCAAATCTCTTTATTCCTATATTAACATAGTCAAATAATAAAATCCTAATTGCTGTAGCTGTATCCCTAATAATTAGGGATTTGATATTTTCACATTCCCCCTCAAACTAGGTATAGATGTTAATCAAGCCAAGCTTGGAATTAAAATCTTCAAAATGCTTCCTTGGTAGAGCTTTAGTGAGAATATATGCTATTTGCTAACTTGTTGGCATGTATAGCAGACTGACGGCCTCATTTTCTATCTTCTCCTTTATGAAGTGGTGATCTATCTCTACATGTTTTGTCCTATCGTGATGTATTGGATTCTTTGCAATGCTAATAACTAACTCATTGTCACAAAATACCTTCATTGGTTCAGAAGTGATGATTCCTAGTTCCTTTATTTGTCTTTTCAACCATATTCCCTTACAAATTCCAAGTGCCATAGCTCTAAACACCTCCTCTGCACTACTTCAAGAAACTACTGGTTGTTTCTTACTTCACCAAGCTACCAGGTTTTCCCACGCATATGTACAATAACCAGATGTTGACCTTCTATCAGTTATAGACCTAGCCCAGTCAGCATCGATGAACACTTCAATGCCTTTCCTTGTAGTTTTCCTGAAATATAAGCCTTTACCTGGTGTTGTTTTCAAGTACCTCAATATTCAGTTGATAGCTTCCATATGTTCTTGGGTTGGATCATTCATGAATTGGCTTACTACACTGACTGAGAATCCTATATCTGTTCTGGTGTGTGAAAGATAAATCAGCTTTTTAACAAGTCTTTGATATCTGCCTTTGTCCATTGGAATGCTTTCGCTATTTGTTCGAAGTTTAGTACTTGAGTCCATGGGTGTTTCAGCCGGTGTGCACCCAAGCATTCTAATATCTTTAAGAAGATCGACTACATACTTTCGTTGTGACACTAAAATTCCTTTTCTTGACTAGGTTACTTCCATTCCAAGGAAATATTTTAGGCTCCCAAGGTCCTTGGTTTCGAATTCTTTGGCAAGTAAAGTTTTGATTCTGATAAGTTCATCTTCATAGTCACCGGTTAAGATGATATCATCTACATACACAATGAGAATTGCCAATTTTTGTTTCGGCTGAGTATTTGATAAACAAAGTGTGATCTGCTTGATGTTGAAACACCTATATTTCTTCATTATTTTGTTGAACCTGTCAAAGCAAACCCTAGACAATTGTTTTAGTCCATTAAGGGACTTCTTGAGTTTGCATACTTTATTCATGGTTGCTTGTGTTTCAAAACCAGGAGGTATGTCCATGTAGACTTCTTTTATCAGATCTCCATGAAGAAAGGCATTCTTGTCATCAAGATGGTGACGAGGCTAGTCAAGATTAGTAGTCAATGATAATAGCACCCGAATTGTGTTTGATTTGGCAACCATAGCAAATGTTTATTGATAATCAATTCCATAAGATTGAGTGAAACCTTTTGCAACGAGTCGCGCTTTAAACCTGTCCACACTTCCATTAGCCTTGTATTTAACAGTGAATATCCACTTATATCCTACAGGATGTTTCCCATGTGGTAGCTCCACAACCTCCCAAGTTCCATTTTTCTTTAGTGCCTATATTTCTGCCCATACGGTAGCCTTCCATTCTGGAATTGACTAGCTTCTTGGATGGAGTTGGGAACTTGCACTGTGTTCAGGTTAGCCACAAATGTTTGGTAGCTAGGAGACAACCTTTTATAAGAGACAAATCTAGAGATTGGATGACTAGTACACGACATCATGCCTTTCCTTAAAGCAATGGGACAATAAAGATCATTAACAATAGGCTCATAAACGATGAATTTAAAGCTAGTGTTACCTGGTGAAAATTCATTTGTTCTTGCATTTGGGAAAGATTCTTGACTTTACTCGGGAGGTGCTTGTTGCTCCAAATCCTCTTGAGGCTTCTTCGTCCGAGAGTATACAATGACCTCACTATTGGTTGCAGGTCTCATATGTTTGACAAGAGTTGAAGTAGGTGGAAGGTTTTCAGATTCAATTTCGGAATGGTGATTATAATTTTGAGTAGGAGTAAGAGTGGGTGAGACAGAAGCGACTATGACTTGTGGATTTGGGTGGTTGGTTGTTGTGGTATCCATTTCCAAAAATTGATATTCTTGTATGCTATTATTTACCTGAATATTAATTTAGGGATAGTAAGGTTGATGTTCAAAGAAAGTAACGTCCATGGAAGTGTAGAATCTTTTCGTAATTGGGGAGTAGAATTTGTACTCTTTTTTGGTTTGAAGAGTAACCCAGGAATATACACTTGAGTGCTTTGGGATCGAGTTTACTTCTATATTGTTGGTGGACATGGACAAATACTAAGCATCCAAATACTTTTATTGGTATAGTTGAAACAATTCGAGTGTTGGGATAAGAATGAAGAAGGATTTGACGTGGTGTTTGGAAGTTCAAGACACGGGAAGGCATTCGACTTATAAGATAAGTTGCTGTGAGTATGGCCTCCCCCCAGAAGTGTTTTGGGACGTGAGTGGAAAACATAAGTGACCTAGCTACCTCTAGAATGTGTCTATTTTTTCTTTTTGTGACTCCGTTTTGTTGAGGATATGGACATGTGAACTTTGGTTTATTATGACTTGACTTTGTAGATAATCTCCGAGAATGTTGTTGAAGTATTCCCTAGCATTATCAGTCCTAAAGATTTGTATTTTGGTATAGAATTGGGTTTGAAGAAATTCTTGAAAATTTGCCAAACCTCTAAATTTCCCTTCATGAGAAAGACCCAAGATCCAAGTGTGATCATCTACAAATAAAACAAACCAGCATGTCCCGGTAATATTTTTGATATGTGAAGGTCCTCAGACATTACTATGGATTATTGAGAAATGATGTGATTTTTTATATGGTCGAATTGAATAAGAGATAAGAGAATATTTAGCAAAGTGACAAATTTTACACTAATACTCTTTTGGACTTTTATTGCTGAATAATGAAGGAATAAATTTTTGAAGGTACAAGAAATTTGGATGACCTAATCTATAGCTGCAATATCGTTATTGAGATGAGAAAAAAAATTCATTTTTAGACTAATTATTTGTGTTATTCAAATCTATCTTATGAGTTTGTTGTTCTGGAAGATCAGCAACATTGTGTATATAAAGACCTGAGCACATCTTAGCATTGCCACTCATCTTCCCCAAATTCAAGTTCTGAAATTTACACGAGTATGGGAAAAATTTAGTAACACAGTTAAGTTCTTAAGTGAGTTTACTAATGGACGATAAATTGCAATCCAAGTTTGGGACTAAGTGAACTTAATTTAGTATGAGGTTCGCTGATATAACCACAGCCTGTTACTGTTACTTTTGAGAGAGACCCATATGCAATTCCAACAAAAAAGTTTTTATGACATGGACTATAAGTATTAAAAATCCTAGCAACTCCAATCATGTGATCAGTGGCTCCTGATCCACCATCCATGGGGTGATTTTCTTTCTTGTTACACTAAGAGTTTTTAAAAATTACCTTTGTGAGCCAAGGATCCAATTCCAATGATTGAGGTACTAGAGGTGGTTGCCGGTTGATCAATTTTTGCAACAGCTCTATTTGTTCTTTGTTGAATAAACTATGTTCTGGCTCTGTATGGTTTTCATCACCAAAGGTCAGATATCCACGATTTTCTCTATTGTTGGATGGACGTGAGAGCTTCTAATCTGTAGGTTTTCCATAGATCTTCCAGCAGGAGACATCATATGACCAGTCTTTCGGCAATGATCGCAACAAGGTCATCCTTTTTGATAAATTTAATGATGCTCATTTCTAGAAGAATCTAGAATTACTTGCCTACAATATCCTAGAATTCCTTAGTAAGCAAGTATAATAAAAAATTAGAATTGTCTAGATTCCACTAGAGTAACTTGGACACCAAAAAATCTTGTATAGGTTGTAGACACTTGTAGAATTCTCTAGAAGATGTGATAAGAGTCTATAAATAGGGCATGATCCCTCATTTGTTTGTAAGAAAAAAAAGAAGCTAGACAAAGCTCAAGCTATTGTAAGCCATCATCATTCTAATAAAATTCATTTCTCCTACCCACTTTGTCCACCAAATTACTTTCTACCAAAATCTTCTAAACTATTAACTTTCAATAAAAGGCCAACTATTTTTTACCTCCAAAATTATTCCATACAAAACATCCTCAATCATCCTATCTCATCACTACAACAACACAATATCAGAGCCACGTTCGATTGATATTGGGCGTACGCATATATGATGGCAGACGCTTTCCACTCATCAATTACTATCCCAACATTTAATGGGGATAACTATGATTTTTGGTCTATCAAAATGAAGACCTACTTTTGTGCTCAAAATTTATGGGATGTCGTCAACGATGGGTATACTAACCCAGATGACATTTCCACTTTAACTTCCGCACAAAAGAAGGAACTTAAGGATAATCAACAAAAAGATTCTCTAGCATTACTTTCTCTACAAATGAGCTTGACGGATACATATTTTCCAAGAATTATGGGAGCCAAAACAGCGAAAGAAGCATGGGATAAGTTGAAGGAGGAGTTCTACGGCAGTAACAAGGTACGTACTTGCCGCCTTCAAACTTTAAGAAGGAATTTTGAAAATCTAAAAATGAAAGAGTCGGAAACCGCAAAAGATTATTATTCAAAAATATATGAAATAGTAAATCAACTAAGGTCTTATGGTGATCATGTTCCTGAAAAGAAGGTTGTTGGAAAAATTTTAATTACTTGCACAGAAAAATATGATCCAATTATTGCAGCTATTGAGGAATCCAAGGATATAGATTAATTAACAGCTGCAGAATTAATGGGATCATTAGAAGCTCATGA